GCCTATTTTGTGTATATGGGAAGGAATTAGTTTCACTGTGAAGATTAAATTCTCTGTTCTCCAATGAAATGGATAAGATTGGGAAAACCATAATTAGTCTTTTTCCTTCAAAAGAATTATATTGTACTAGAACAACTGTGTAGAGTACTGAGTTAGAAAAACAGGCCAATAAACTATATGAACTGAGACTTGAAAATTGCAAATGTTCCCTGAAAGCCTTGGATATGGTACCTTCAGAGCCCCTCTAAAATTCCCACTAAACTGCAATTTTGAATGCAAGATGAAGTCAAATATATATTTTTTCTTTTTAACCAAATTTGTCTTGGTCCTGCTTACATTTTGACATGTCACCAGCCACTATTCCACTCAAATACCCTAAAGAAGTCACATATACTTAGTTTATGGCTCAGTGCTTTGTGTGAACTTATCTTATTTCTTATTCAACAAACCACAATAAAAGATTATTGAGATGATGAGTGAACCTAGCCACGTCTTTTCCTTTATTAAATGTAGAGAGGGGCTATGACATTTAAAGTGGGACAAACTTCAGTCGTGAACAACTAGTAATAAACATTAATTTAAAAAGCATACATCTTTTAAATAATAATTAAAAGGTATTCATGTAAAGCTACTGGCACTATAACACTTTTGGACTATTTAGTACCAGATCAAAATGGAAACTGTTGAACCCAGTCCAGTGGGTCCTATGTTCTTATGTACCAGGTGAAGACAAGTCTAAGATGGCTGGAGTTTCTTCCTGGGATTAAACCTAAATGTTTCCTTCAAGGAAAATAAGGCTATAATGACACACACAAAAGCTGGGAATTTTATATGTTTGCAGCTCAAATGTAAGACAAAGGGATGGCTGATGAGGCAGCAGAAGTCTTGCAAAGTATTCAGAAGTTATATGTAATTGTTATATGTAGTAGGATTCATTAAATTAATCCTAAATAAAAAGTTGTGAAATTTTTAAAAATCTTATTTAAGTCTAAGTACAAAATGTTTGTTTCTGACAATATTTCCCCATGTTCAGAACAGTCTGGAGGAGAGCAAATGATACAAATCTTTGTTTCCCACAAACCAACACACTACACACCTCCCATCTAGTAGAACACATCATGCCATCTTGAATTTTCCCTCTGCAAGGAAAGTTCACGATTTGTTGACAACACAGTTCAGGATTTGTGTACAACACAGGAAAAACAAAAGCAGCAAATATTTGTGTATCTTGTCTCCTGTGTGTTTACAGTATTTGAAGTTATCTCAAGATTAGGTGAGAAGGTGAGCTTCAGTGAAGGGATGGCACATGTGACCTAAGAACTGACTGCAGTTCCAACTCTTCCTTTTTGATATGAAAGTTAGTTAAGCACTACATGAAAGGGGACAACACAGCTCAAGCAAATTTATTTTACATATATAATATCTTGATCATTAGAGGATTAATATTAGTAATCAAACATCTGCAACATCACAATGGAGTTGGGTGATCTATTAAATCAATCAATCAATCTTAGCCAGAGTGTCATTTGAGTAGGTCGTGTGTGTTTCAAACTCTATTATACTGCTGTAGTATGTCCTTTTTTTACCTCTTGTGTTTCCAAACCTCCTTTCTGCCAACTCCCATTGCGTCTTTGCACTGCCTTTGATGCTTTAGACCCTGCTATTCCCTATTCAGATAGAGAAGTGGGGAAATGTGGTCACAGAGACAAAAGGATCAACGAGTATTACAGGTTATATATTTCAAACAAGATGAATACACATGTCTTTGGTTATTTTTGTGCACTTCCTCCTTTTAAACTTCAAAGTGTACTTTCTCTTTTTGCTTAGATTCTGCCAAGGTTGTATCCTGAATTTGGCCAAGCTTACATCCTTAATAAGAATACAGTCTGGAGTCAAAATATTATTAGATTCTGAAAAAGTAACATGACTGTAACTATAATGAGATTTTATCATGTTGGCCTTACTGCACTTTGGAGCTGGTGCTCGCTTTCCCTTCTAAAGCTTAGTTACGGCTCCAGAATTTTCAGTGATTACATTCATGAAGGAAGCAGACAAAACACATCATTCTAAATGGACAGTGCATATCAAAAGCATGGTTTACAGCTGGTGATTCATCATACTCCCAATCTGTACAGAGGCTTCAGATTTCATACCTAGAAGCATTAAGTGTTCCCTATAGGTAATATACTAGGTTAAAAAGCTTCTCCCCTCTAAATGAAAGTTGTAAAAGATCAAAGAAGAACTGACTACAAAAGATTAACTGAATTACAACAAAAGGGAAATATTAAGAGCTATATTAAACTGACAACTATGGAATTCATCAATAATATCAAGATTTTCTATGAACTTAGGACACAACTAATATGAATTCTTTGCTTAAACCAGTATTAGAACACAAATATCTACACTGAAAAAATCCTTGAAAACACATTTAGATCCCACATAGAAAAAAGCAGCTATCTTAAATCTTCTCAGCTTTATTTAGAATGTACATAGTTAAGGCGTGACTACTTTTCCCTGGTTAATCTTAATGCATTGCTTTGGAAAAAATATGAACATGAATTTAGAGAAGAAAGATAGTTCGTTAAATTATTCTGCAAGTATGTGTATGCATGATAGGATAGAGAGGATTTTTTTCCCGATGGGATACCTTTATACCTTTGCCTGTCTGTCACTGGTTCAATCTGCTATTAGCGCCTTTATCAAAATGTAGGCATGACTGCCAGGCCATGTAAAGACAGCCCCTCAGTTAGCTTTCCCTGACAAGCCTCCCTTCAAATGTACTGAATCATAATTATCATAATTCCCAAATAGTATGGCAAACTCGTTTAAGATTATGGAAGTTGTAAACCAACATTCCTGAAGGGAACCTGGTTGAAGAAAATACCTTAGTTAGCTGGTCAGCCATCTTTTTCAGGTACTTTAATTTGAATTTCTGCACCAAGCAGGAGGTTGGACGCCAAGGCCTAAATTGGCCCTTCCAACTCTGATTCTATGATATGCTGGCCTGCTTTTTCTGCCTAGTTGAGGTCCTGTTATCCAACTAGAGTTAAAGCATTTAGTGAGGCTGTATCTATCACTAAACCTAATGAAACAGCCGATTAAAAATTATCCTTTTAAAAAAATCCTCCAATTTGTATACCAATTCTTTTTGTTAGCCATGCTTATTTATATAAAATATATATTGTTATCAGAACAAAAGGGGGCCACTGCTTTTCCATACTATAATTTAAAAAAACAATCTGAAAAGGATGATGTGCCTTAAAAACATTTTTGTTATACTCAGATCTTCTTGTTAGGAGTTTAGTTGAGGTGGTATAATAATTATTTTCATGGCTGGTGTGGGTCTTCCGGGCTGTGTGGCCGTG